CACTAACGACTGTGAACCTCGCGAATCCGTGATGGCGGCTTGTCACAATCTTTGCATCTCACATGACAATTTCCAGAAAAATCCATCTCGAAGTCTTTTTTTACCTGAATTTGTTTTGTGGATCGTAATGATCTGTTGTTTATGGGTTGTTCGAGAATATGGTGATTGTGAAGTTCGTATAAGGTATGCCAGTGCATGAACGATCGGAATAGCCAACCAGTTGGATACTGACACACTTTGTGTTGTATCAAGCATTGTGTGAAGAGTACTTTCGTTAGAACAAGTTAACACCGACACGTGAGAACACAATGAAGACTCACTCTCGGGAATGGTTTTTAGAATAGTCTTCGAATTTGTCCTTTATCGAACCCAACCACGCCCGGGTCTCAGAGTATACGCTTGTCTTCGGTTTATCTTGTTTAACTGTTTCTCCATGTTCCGTTGAACACCAGGCATCTCTGTTTGAGAGTAGCCTAGATGATCACCTTCGTCAAGGAACTACATATATTCACATCAAGCCATGAATACAGAGTTAACTCAAAACTGTGAACAAATCAAGGAAAATACAGGCAAGATAACATATAAAAGCAGGCCAGTCTGAGATCGCAACCCGAAAGACGGTAGACGCCTACTCTACCTTAACGTTCGCTGCATTTCTTCATGCCTCCTCGTATCCACATCATCTACTGGCCTCCACGTGGCTTTCGCCAGTCCGCAACGACCAGCCACTACAAATATAGCGCGGTGTGGTAGGCGACCGTCAGACATACGCAAAACGGAGCCTATTGATCTGAATTCGATGCGATAGCGAGTTCATGTTTGATGCATTTCCGAATACCGGACGACTTACTTCTAGGTTACTAACTCATTCACTCTATCCCACCTCAGATAGACTACGTAAGCATCAATTATCGAAAACCACTTGGCGACGGATATCTTCCACTCGCAAATTCAAGATCTCACAACTGTAAAACAGAACTGATCGTACAATGGCGTGGTATAGGCCACTTTTCAACTTGAGTGAAATGTCATGTCCAAGTCAAAGTTATATTATGGGAATTACTTACAAGCATGTTCTTCTCTTGTTCCCATAAGATATTTGCACTGTTGAATCGGTTCTCTGCAAGAAACGTTCAGTTGTCACATAGAGTTCCAGATGGGACATGACAGATAATGTTGCCTTCAACGAATTTGTGTTTATTTTTGTTTTGTTTACGAGTGTGAGGTGTACCAGGGTTTCATCGACTCCGCTTGAAAGATTCAATAGTTGGTGCACAAACGACGTGGGATAGAAGGGTGTTCCGCACACTCTGACGGCATTCCAGTGCACACTTTGGAATCAGTAACTTAAAATAGTGTCCCTTAAGGTTTGTATTGCTCGGCAACTTGAGAAACGGCCGACATAAATGGTTTGGGTTCTGCAATATNNNNTACATCAAAATCAAGTCTCCCCGAGTTCGGTGGTACTGAGCAGAATATAGTCCCAATAATCGTAATCTCTCTTCGCCACAGGTGTGTTTGGTCCTGTGTACGCGGCTCGTGCTTTCGAAACGCCTGCGGTTATCTCCTTTGATGCGCTACAGTGTTTGGTCACGTTTCAGTTTCAGTTTGAACAACCATTAACCATGCACTTTCGTGCGCCGGTTTTGGNTTTTGGCTGCCCATTGGAATGAAGAATAGGAGAAAGGAAAGTTGAAAGTGGATTCGAAAGGAAAATGGAGAAGTTCAGTGGACTAAGGTTGGGAAGAAATTGAGGAGATGCACGAACGCCACTGTTAACGACACCCAGCCATATCGCTCAGTGTCTCTAACCATCGGTTACGATCATCCCGAGGTCCCCATCCAGGGAGCCTAACAGGGCCTATGTGACCCAGTTTCCTGGTTAGGGTTTTCATACCCTCGTGCCAGGTTTGGTCACGCAGCTACCCAACTATGCGGAATAATTAACTTTAGCTAATTCCTTACCATCTGTCTAGTTTCAGCACAGGACTCGGTGACACCCAATCTTGCCGCATTACTTTACACTTTGACGGAGCAAAACGCATGCCGAACGGCTTAGGTGGTGAAGATTGAAGTACTATTAGATTAGACGGAGTTAAGGGGTGCACGGATCTGATAGCATTTCATGATCCACCTTATGACTATCTGGTGTGTTGGTAAACGTATCTGATAGATGATGAAAACTCGAAAAATTTGTTTTTAGAAGATTTCCAAGCAACAATGAGAAATCATTTTGGGCTGTTCATTGAAAGTTCAAGCTGAGGCAACTAAAATGGGTATAAAGAAGGATTTATCGGATATAATGGGTAGTTCAATTCATCAGCAAAACTCTTAAACAGGCCCTGACTATCGAATTCCACTTTTTATTACACGTATTTGTGTGGTGAGCAGCAGACGGGGCGAACCCCATAGTCACAAAGACCTGTTGCTCCGTCATGGAAACCGGTAACCTGAGCCCCGGGACTTGGAATGGGCAACCACATCCCAGTTCGTTGTGACAATGTCCTTTTTCCGAGACTCTACCAAATACATGATGTCGCAGCTCGGTGTTGCTAACCCGCTAGGGCTATTCCGCATGAGCTGAACATCAACACAGCTCTCTACATATGATTGGTTCACATTCTCTCATTAGAAATAATATTTTGTAAAAAATAAATTCAATAGCTGTCCACAACGGTGACGATACGCTACAATTCTGTGAAAGTTCTCATGTTTCAAAGGGACTTATTACTTCTAAGATTGCAATTCAATAGTCACTCATTTTCTGCCTGTTGAGTTCAATTTCATGGTCACTTTGTAAATCTGCGTTTAATAATACTGTTTTTACCCGTGACTACTGTCTCGCCTCCTGCATTAGCATCCGGTCGTCCCAACTGTCCACTGCTGGCATTCAGTTGGCATCCATCCTTACCCAATTGTCTTTTGACATTGGATCGCGAGGGTTGTTTAGATATTGCGGAACTGATTGAACGTCCGGCTACCGTAAGTTTTGATTTCGACTTCTGTGATCACGAAATTGTCATTTCATCTTTTTCTGTGCATGATTACCATTGCTCCTTGTGTGGTTGCCAAATTTAACCCATCAGATAAAATAAAGACTAGGGTTGCACAAGTGACTAAACCCGGAGCCTACTCTATCCAGCACCATCTGTGAAGCTTGAGTCACTGTTTTCAGTGCTGAACTGTAATACAGGTTGTTCAGTTAACCTTGTAAATGTGAGCAATACGGTGCGAAGCGATTTGTTCTCAAACTCCGAGCACGGAATGGCACACACTCAGTGCTGTGAAAAGCCAAACGTATCTAAGCGCCCCAGCGGGTGCATACATCATTGAACCAAAACACCGTGTCAAGTTGATGCTATGGTTCGGAGCACATTGAAAGCACGCCCTGATGTTTTCAGTTTGTACAACCATTAACGATGCTATCCTGCGCCGGCTTTGGTTGCTGTCTTTTGGCTGTCCATTTATGAGAAAGAAAGGAAAGGTTGAAAGTAGGATCGAAGGGAAAATTTAGAATTTCATTGGACTAATGTTGCAGAGATATTGACAAGATGCACGAACACCACTGTTTACGACACTTGGTCATACCAGTCGGTGTCTCTAACCATCCGAGTACGGTCATCCCGAGGTCCCCATCCAGGGAGCCTAACGGGACCCATGTGACCCAGTCCGCTGGTTAGGAATTTCATACCCTCTTGCCAGGTCTTCGGCTGACCACCCTTGGCTTTTTTCCGCCCACTACCTGCCTCGGCAAACATCGCTCGCCGTGGCAACCCATTTGGTGATATGCGTAACCAACGTAATATATGGAGATCAGTCATTTGCTCCAGTGGGCGACCGCATTTACCTAAAAGTCCGCGCCTAACCTCAGCATTGCTCGTCTGGCTGCCCCACCAGATTCGTGCAATGCTGCGTAGACAGTGGTGTTCAAACATCAACAGTCTATCCTTATCCTGCTTCCTTAATAGCCAAGTTTCTGCGCCGTATAGCATGACTGGCCGAACTGCCGCAAAGTATACTCAACCCTGTGGTGAAGACTTTGTTTGTTCACCTCAGGGGACATCCAGTAAAGTTGAAGACCCAGAACAGCCACCTTGATTACCGGCATCAATCGTTTGCAGTCAGAGTGTGCGGCGTATGAAATGCTCTTTCGTCCGATGTAGTGTGTGCTCCTACAGTTGAACTATTTAAGTTGCAACTTGATAAAGCATTGGAACACTAAATTTCGACATCCGTGAGTGATCATGCAAATTGTTCTTTTCTCTTTGTGAAGTTATTCGAAATACTCTAAAAATCCTATGGGGCATGATAAGCTTTAGCTTTGTTAAAATCCCCCGTAATAAAACTTTGACTTGGGCAAATTTTTATCTGTTCCTGATCTATAATTATTCTAATTAGATTGAGGGGTTCACGATGGTTATAACTTTGTTATGTTCGACCTATATACCGTCGTAACCACTGATTTCTACTGTTGGTTTCCAACCTTCGTGCTTGCAGAATCGTAGGCGCCTCAGAATGTTTGTCTTAGTCTGGGAAAACAATCGTTGGGAATGCGTCGTCTAGTGGATGGCCTTGACAAAAGATAACTAACAATCCCTTTGAAGTATGAACACCGTTATGTTGTTTCTCGTGATTTAAAAAATAGCATTTTATTGATTTTGGCGTGAATAATCCGCAATTCTTTGGTCCAAATAATTTTTTCAGTCTTCATTCATTCCGTTCTAGGCTTGGTCCCCGGAACAAGCGTTACTTTGGTCCCATTCCGGTCAATGGACTGCTTACGATCCATGGAGTGTGAAAAGTAGTCGAGTGATTCAGTTAATGAGCCCTCCAAAACCGATGAGACCATCTGGAGCTATCGCCGATCAGCCACATGAACCTGAGGACCCAGCAGCAGTCGGGGACGAGCTCGGTGAGCCAACTTTGGCTACCTCTATCGCACGTCGTTCCAGTATGGTGGTCGAACTGCAGCAACATTTACTCAATGATATCGCTTCAGTGATGCGTCGACGAGCTGAGTTGGGCTACGGAATGGGGGTGCGTCAATTAGTGTTAATGTTTGCGACTTGTTCTGGACTTATTTTCTAATAAATCAACCAGTGAATCTCTCTCTTTGTGCATAAATGACCTGCTTATCCCGTGGTTTTCACTTGCCAGTTAGCTGGCAATTAATTAATGTCACCATACACTACGCGTTTTTATTCAAAAACGTTTTGTAACATTTTTTAAAACTCCATTCCTGAGGTCCCAGTTTGTTGGATTCACACTACTGGTGATTTCCAACTATCAGAAGACAAGTTGAAAGGTAAAAATGTGTTTTCATTCATCCATAATCCGGTCTCTGTAAATCCTTTCTTTGTGGTGGCGGGTCTTCAAACCGTATATCCAAAGCTCATTCCGGACAGAGTAGATGGTTTATGTTCTAAATGGTTGGTTTTATGTCTTTATTCATAGTGTTTGGGTAAAATCGATTGCATTTAGAGTGGCGGTGGTGGTGCTGGTGTCAACGCTCAATTTGGTGTCAAGACAAATGAAGAAGGCTTAATTTGATTATAATTCACTTTTTAATCAAATCGTTCTCTACTGTCGTGTAACAACCAGTAGTCAGGTTCGGAACGACAGGGAACCTTGTAGGCTGGTCCGCACATGCACGAGGTGTGGTGCATGGTGAAGCATGCACAAAACGGGCAAAGATGGCTTCGGCAGTGTTGTGTATGGTCAAAATGGAATACAGTCTGATCAACTGACCGATGGTCCAGTGAGTAGTATGCTTACGTTCTACCTGTGAGGTCCGGGGTTCCATTCTCACTTAGGTCTAGGTATTTACACGGCTGATGAGATCCACTCAGGTCGAAACAACATTGCTGTGATTCCTAGCTTTCCCTTTCACGTTTTTTGTTTGTTTTTGTTTACTGCACAACCAGAATCTCCTTATGAATGAATAATGCGCTTCGACCCGTTGCTTTTGTGCCTATCGCCTCAGCGATGAGCGGTAGCTGCAGTTGCATCATTGCCTTATTAGGGGGTTGTGGGGAGGGCACATGATAGATCACTCTAAACGCTTATTCTGGTTTTACAAAAT